TTTCAATTAATTTTATTTATTAATTATTTTAATTAATTTTTATTAATTAATTAATTTTAATTAATTTTAGGGTGAGAACAGTGCCTCTCTCACCCTAAAATCACAAATAAAAACATCACACAGCTAGGTTAAGGTAGCCACCCAATACTTGCCCAGTCCCGAACTCTATGCATCTCAGTGGCTTCTTTCTACACAGCTAGGGTGACCATTCTGAAGCTAGGGAGCTTCGCTTAGCGTTGAGCATTTTCACTATCAATTATACTTTTTTAATAATTGTCATTTATTTTTAGTTTATGCATAGGAGTGTATTGCTTGCACATGTGTAAGTGCACCCATATTGTTCAATGCCCTTGGAGGTCAGAGGAGGGCATTGGATTCTCCCGGAACTGGAGTTATGGATGGTTGTTAGCCACAATGCGGGTGCTGGGAATTGAAGGGGTCCTCTGTAAGAGTAGCCAGTGCTCTTAACCACTGAGCTATATCTCCAGGCTCCTTACCCAGTTTTTTTAAAAAAAGAAAAAAATAGGGGATTGGACAGATGGCTCAGTGGCTAAGAGCACTTTCTGCTCTACCAGAGGACCTGAATTTGGTTCCCAACACCCATGCAGGGCAGCTCACAACCAGCTCCAGGGAATCTGACACCACCCTCTTCTGATCTCCTAGGGTACCTGCACTCACAGGGTGGGCACACACACACACACGCACACACACACACACACACACGCACACACGCACAAACGCACACACCCAAATAAGTAAATAAAATGTTTTTAAAGATTTTTAAAAGGAAAAATTAAATACAAAAACAAGCAAAAAACAAACAAAAGTGAAAGATTTTTTAAGTCGAATTTTTTGCAATTTTCAGCAATATACTTTGATGGTATTTAGATCCCTTCCCCTTTCCCATCTCCTTTTACTGCCCTCCACCCAATTTAATGTACTCTGTTATATATAAAAAAGGCTATAGAATTTAATTTGTGTCCCCAAATATCCTTCAGTTCAGGTCCATCCTCTGGAGCCTGGTTAACCTACCAAGAGCCCTAACCCTGTAAGAGACTGACTCTACACCTCCCTGAAGTCATCTATTGACAGTTTCCTTAGATGAGGTTGGAACTTCTTACTCACTTCCTGTCTATACTGGAAAAGTCAAAGATTTTAAACTCATTCAGAAAAGGAGCCCGAGGCCTGGAGAGGTGAATGTGTGTCCCACATTCAGGGAGTACCCGACTCCCTCCCTTCCTGTCTTCCTTCCCAAGCACAGATCCACATCAAGACCTTTTGAAAGCTCTGGAGACAAACTAATGTGCCCGATGGATCTGCCTGCTGATGGGCACTGGCTCACTTTCTATGAGGACTTAAGGGCCAGAGGCTGGTACCTGCATCAGTGCCTGGAAATGCAATCTTTTTTTAAATTTATTTTTATTTGTATTTTATGTGTGTGTATTGCCTGAATGTAGGTAAGTGCACCCGTGTTGTGCCATGCCCGCTGAGGACAGAAGAGGCTGTTGGATCCCCAAGAACTGGAGCTACAGACAGTTGTTAGCTGCCATGTGGGTGCTGGGATTCAAACCCGGGTCTTCTGCAAGAACAGCCAGTGTTCTTAACCACTGAGCCATCTCTCCAGCCCCTGAAATCTTATTTTTTAATGCATACTGGGACAGAGTAAAGCCAGTGTCTTCCCCAAGACCCCTAGTAAGTGGTGGTGGAGGAGTAGTTTTGGCCCAAATCTGTCCCCAGAGGTTCTGAGACATAATGGGAAGATGGCCCTGAGCTGGTAGGCTGTGCTGGAGGGGCCCTTTGGTAAAGTCTCCCATCCAGGCCTATAGTAGAGCCTGGACACATGGACCCCCTCAGTCCAGACACCCAGTTTCAGGGCTTTAGTGTGGAAAAGGCCAAGTGCAGGGCACACCCCCGGGCTCTGCTCACACAGCTGGTATAATGTCAGAAGGTTGGGGACCCTCTCTGTGTGGATGTGGAGAATTGCAAACAGGAAGGACCCTGGGCATGCTCCAGGTCAAGGATGCCCTGCATCCCCTAGGGTCTGGCAGGTGCTCAGATTTCCAAAGCTCTGCAGTGTCGCAGCTGCTGTCCAGGTGGCTAGAAAGACAGAAAGTTGAAGAGAAGGAAGAGAGAGAAGCCCTTTTCTCTGGATGACTGGGAGTGAAAAACTTCAACATAATCAATAAAACTGACATTTTCTAAATGCCAGTGCTTGTCTCAAAGATATTAAAACAACAAATGCTGCTTACTTAGGGTCAGAACATTTGTAACATTGTTTAACTGTGTCAGCATGCCTTTCTCACCCTGAAATCTAAAAAATACGCCTCATAAAACCATTGTACATTTACAAAAGGGAGTTTGTGTTTGTTGGATTTGTTTGTTTTGAGACGGGGATCCCTTTTAGCTCCAGCTGGCCTGGAATTCACTATGTAGACCAGGCTGGCCTTGATCTCACAGAGATCCGCCTACCTCTGCCTCCCAAGTACTGAGATTAAAAGCAGGCATCACCACATCTGGCTTCAAAAGGGTATTCTTTAAGAAGAGAAAAATAAGTTCCCCAGCTGTATATGTCTGTTGAACTGACTTTTTCTTCGGTGCAGGATATGTTCATCCTAGTGTCATCTTGGAGCACAATGTCAGAAACACAGAAACACTGTCTTTCTATAGTATCAGAACTTACTGACACTCCAGCTACAAGGCTTCACTGACAGTAATTTGCCAGATACTCACTTTCCTTGATATTCCTGGCCAAAGCAAACATGGGTTCTTTTATTATTATTATTTATTTATTTTATTTATTTTTATCTTATGTGTATGAGTGTATTGCCTGCATGTATGTAAGTGTACCCATGTCATGCAATGTCTTTGGAGGTCAGAAGAGGGCTTCGGATCCCCTAGAGCTGGTGTTACAGACCGCTCTAAGTGCACCTGTCATGCAGTGCTGGTGGAGGACAGAAGTGGGCCTCAGATCCCTTGGAACTGGAATTATGGATGGTTGATAACTGCCATGTGGGTGCTGGGATTCAAACCCAGGTCTTCTGCAAGAGCAGCCATTGCTCTTAACCACTGAGACATCTCTCCAGCCCCAAGGATCTTTGTTTTATTTAAAAGAGGCTCTCACTATGTAGCTCTGTTGGACTGGAACTCTTTTAGACCAGGCTGGCCTCGTTCTCACAAAGAACTTCCTCTGCCTTCTATATGCTGGGATTATCGGCTACATAATTACACCTGGTAAACAGGTTCTTTTATTTCAATCTTAATTACTAATGTTAACTCTCAGATCACACATTATATAGCACACAGTACATATATCTACATATGTAAACATATAGCAGTTGTAAAGAGTTCAAAGGCTGTAGCAGAGTTCAAGAGATTTCCAGAGTTTTGAGCTAGGAAGGCTGATAGAAATGTAAACAGTCTGTACTGATAAGATAAAGAACCAAAGGGAGCTGCCAAAAAGCAGGAGAACTGATGGGGTTGTGGCTCTACCAGAGTGGTAAGAGCCAGATGAAGAGAAGAGCAAGATGAAAGGATGTTGGATGGATGGATGGGTGGATGGATGGGTGGATGGCAGGTCCAGATGGTCCAACAGGAGCATGTGAAGGCAGCAATTCCAGTAGGCTGTGTCAACAGTGGGGACTGAGCTGAGCTTAAGTCCTGGGACAGTAGGGAGTTCTCTGCCTGTTGGTCCTCAATATACACACTAGGGGGTTGGACGACAGGTCAGTGGGGCCATCACCATCAGTATTAGGCGTCTACTTTCTTATAAGGTTCAGGTGAGGGAGGTTCACCCTTTCCTTAGCCAGATGTGTCTGATAAGTTCTTAGACCTAGTTCCTCCAACATGACTTTAATGTGCCCACATGTCCCCGCAGCCTCGAGTCACTCCAACAAACTCACAAGGTAGCTCCCTTTTTATGCTGAGGCACTTCATTTATCAGTCCATGCTGCACAGGTGGTGCAGGATAGATGGTACCATTTGTATGGACTCAAAAACTGCCAATGATAGAATCTGTCAGGGCAAGGCACAGCCTGAAAAGCCACTATTTTACATAATATGGAGTAATTTAGGACAGGACATGGCCTGATCTCCACAAGCAGAAAATACCTTGACCAAGTAGCCATGACCCCTAATCAGCATATGGTGGAGCAACTGACACTCCCGGGTTGATGGAGGAGGAGAGATCATAAGATTTTCACTGGGATTCTAACTATTACCCTGACCCCAGCTACAAATGATCTTGGGAGATGTTAGAGTATACAGGAAGTGGAAGGTTCACTGGATGCAGCTTCTGTGAGGCTGTCATCCATGTCATCCAGTGATGCAGCTGTTTGGGGAGCTCACCCATGCTCCTGTAAGTGGACCCTTACCCATACTCTCTAACTAAGCTCAATAGGCTCATGGGTTGACCAAATCAGACTTTGGTGAGGTGTGCTTTGTTCATACTCTATCTTGGGCAAATAGATATTTGTTTACATCTCTCAAAAAAAAGTTAACGCAATTTTTTTACCTAGTTTTTGGGGGGTATTTTTTTTTTCAGAGCTGAGGACCGAACCCAGGGCCTTGCACTTACTAGGCAAGTGCTCTGTCACTGAGTTAAATCCCCAAACCCCAGCCCATAAACTTTAAAAAAAAAAAAGAGGGCACAATATG